CCATCTAATTGGTCCAACCTTGTACATACGCGTTCGCTTGCTTTGAAGTATGCTGTACTAAGTTATCTCGAAGACTTCTGCTTTCTGCGCACTTCTTGTCGTGTTTTTCCTCCGGGGCTCACACAAGGCGTAGTTAGACGGTGATAACGCAGCTTTGGCCACATTTACAACACTCCTGTCTTCGGTATTTTGGACTTGGTCTCGACATCTGACCCGCATGGGAGAACGGATGAGAGTGCGTTAGATGCGGTCCCAATCTACTCTAACTGTAAACTAAATCAATGCGCAAGTAACCGTGCCCGCGCTCTCAGGCTGTGTGGCATACAGTGAACATCGTCGGAATCGACGGTCGGACTGTCGAGGTGTTCTTGATGTGACCCCGTTGTGATGCTGCCTTGCCTCAGTGTCAAACGTAGCATGTATGTCCTTCAAACCGTGAGTGCCGTAATAGTTGGTCATATGAGAGGTTTGTTTTTGCCTTTACGCCGGAAACTGAGGTGGGAACGGCGAGCGAGTGGGTACATTCTTCGCGAGTCTGCTTTAACTCTTGTTTCATTCGCGATAGTTCGCTGCGTTGACGATGATTAATCATCAAAATTAGGTTTATTTTGATTCGTTCAATGTTAGCATGCACCACTCGAGCACATCACCAGAGGCCGTAACTAGCAAGACAAATGTTGTTTCAGTAATTGGGGTCATTTGGCTAAATGCCACATGAATTCGGCAAATATTCTCATTTTGCGATTGAGAAGTTATCTTGGCAAACACGTATTTTCAGCAATTTATCGTCAGACCAGCATGCGTGCGACGAGGGAACATCATGATGACTAATCACACCCCTACCCCGAGAACCATTTAAACACTACACCACATATAAGTGACCATTTTAGTCCTTGCAATTGTACTGGCCTGACGAAGAATTGCTGAAAACACGCGTTTGCCATATGAATTTTCTACTGAGACTAATGAGCATTCGGATAAACACATGTGTATCGTAAGTCATTCCACTACACGAAATATGAGACGTTTCAGGGTTTGTGTCTTTACACCGGAAACGGAGGTGGGAACGGCGAGCGAGTGGGTAGATTCTCCGTGAGTCTGCTTTAACTCGTGTTTTATTCTCGGTAGTTCGCTGCGTTGCTTTAGCTTGCTGTAGACTTCGTGCAGCTTGATCAGTTTGCTTCAGTGTCTGCTTCGGCTTACTTCAGCGTTTGCTGCGGCTTGTTGGAGCACGCCGTGCCCATCGTCGAAATCGACGGGGGAACTGTCGGTCTTATGAAGGGAGAAAATAAACCATTGCCTAACCGATAGAAGGATGCGCGTTCTGCCAGTCTCACTACATGGCTTAGCGTGTGTTTTTATTTTCTAAAATTTGAATGATCAGACATTATAGAAATATGTTTTTTTTTTCAATTTTTTTATTTTGCCGTAAACCTCTTTTTCCCCTCCCTTTGCGTTTTAGGTGTATCGAAACCTGGAAAAATGTCATTGAAAGATACACCACCTCGGTAAGTTTTTAGCCTATAATTACGCATTTTTTGCCCTCCAAGGTGCTTATTCGAGTTACGCTATGAGTGAACTGGCATCTGTTTTAAATTTCCCCTCTCATCTCGACAGCGTCTTTACGAGAGAGAAATACTGCGGCCCGCCATCCACCTTACTATCGTTGTTTTCGGGCAATATTCTGATTGTAGAATTTACCTGAGCATTGGATTGCTAACTACTAGGTCACTGGTTCGAGTATGATGATGACGCCTAATCAGTCAAAAATGGCAATTTAAGTCTCCCTGTTTTGTTGGTAGTGTGATAGAGACAAAATGGAGATCATGTAACAGTCATCATCCAGCACTGGCTACAAGACTCCTTGGGTAACTGTCCGCTGCACCCAAGTTACGGCTGTGGACAACTTCTCAAACAACGCGTGAATCGACGGCGAGGTTGCTCACCGCATCTTCAAAGTCAGCCAGGTCTTCGGCCGGCAGTAAGCCTTCGTATACAATTGTGACGACCTTCACCTGAATGCAAATGCGGCCATCGTGCAGACGACCCTCCTGCTTGTAGCAGAAACCTAGACCGTCCACTTAAACCAAGGGCGGAAGGTGATTCACTTCCATCTCAGCTGCCTCCGCACAATAGTGAGGCTGAAAGGGCAAGACAGGATCCCGGGCACAAAAGTCCGCGAACGAACCGGAACCCTCAGCATCCACGCCCTGCTGAGACAAATACAATTACGGTGAAACGGCCACCTGGCGAAGATGGACGAAGAGCGTCTACCTGAGTGGTTTTTCTATAGAGGTGTCATTACGAATGCTCGCAGACAGAGAGGACAAAAAGGCACTGCAAAAGCACGTGAGAACTGTTTAAAGCGACTGCAAATTAACCCGTCGACCTGGGATGAGCCCGCCCAAGACCGACCGACCTAAGGAAGAGCAGTGAAGAAGTCGTGTCTCTCGGATCTACCCGTGGATAGCTCTGCAATCATGACAGGCTTCCAGCGTCATTACCAGAGAGCCGTTGTCGAAGCGAAACTAGGCTACCATCCCACGGTACTTTTTGGTGGCTATCCACCTCCGATTGCGGCTTCGGACCAAAAACTCACGAGGGTCTTTCGCTGTACCTTTGCTCAACTACGCAGTAGCTACTCCATGCTCCTTTGTCAGTACCAACACCCGTCCACATCTGAGAGCTGTCCTGATTGTGGCGTCTTTCCGCATGACTGTCAACATCTTTCGCCTGCAGTTCTCGGCCAAGCGCCCAACTCACTCCCGTAGACCTTTTGGCTCAAGCCGGTTGAGGTTGCGGCTTTTCTGCGCCTTCCAACTACAACCAGTTTGGACTCCGGTGGAGACTCTTGATCCAAAAAGGGCTAGGACACACACACAAGTGGTGTTGCGATTAAAGATTATTCCTTTCCCGTCAAGCTTACATCATTTCAATTTCTTCTTCTGACCTAAATCTCGTGGCTGTTTAAGTCGGGTTTCCTCTTTATACA